GATTTAAATACTATGCACACTGAACACTTCACATTGCACATCCTCATCGTATCGAAAAGGCGAAAATTCTTCGTTGAATGTCTTAACCGTTCCATCTCCATAGAAATATCTCTACTAAAGGCAGAGTCATTTGTGTGATTCGAAATGGAAGCACATTTTTATAAATCACGATCAGATAGTAAATGTAATGATACCATGAGATCTCCTGTTCCCAGTGGTGAGCCACTAACACAAGAAATGCGGCCTTGGAAACCTTTATCTGGTATAATACACTCATCTCAATAAAGGTTGGTTTTCCTCAAGCCAAATCGCAAGATTGCTGTTATGGTGTTAAGCAATAATAACTCAATTTTGGTCGAACTTTAGGCCAGCATTATAATCTCAGCAGACATTACAAATATTCACATTAATTTAGTATTTCTATCGTAACATGCTTCATTCGCCGGTTGTACTTGACTTCCGAATTGCAAACAAACCAGTTCGTTGGACTGGTTGTCTGTCGATCTCTGAGTTTGCATCCTCTCGTGAACATGTCTGGATGTTGTCTTGCAAATTATACAGCGGTTGAATTGATGTCAGTCATGAGATATTACTGTGTCATGAATGTACATGCAGGTTACTACATAAGGTATTAAAAATATATCTTCTTTTGAAAAAGACGATAAAACACATCACCAGACTATGAGTAGTCAACCAATGAATGAATGGATTTTTCAACTAGAATGAATATGTGCAAACACCAAACAAGCTATTTTGATGGAATGTGATCACAACTCAGACCTAATTTATTGCAACAGTTCAAAGCGGCGTCAAACCCACTCACTCAAACATCTAATCCATGAAGAATGGGTTAGAATTCTGCCACTGGATTGTCTGGTCCAGACTCGATTTTATCTGACCGTGAATATTCACAGAGCTGGAATATGGCTGAGTGATATTAATATAGGATATTTATATAGCGCACATATCCAGGCAACTAGTGCATGCTCAAGGCGCTGTTATTTTCCCCTCGATCATTGGATGTCAATCTCAACGGCACATCGTATTATCAATCTCAACTCCCTGGGGAGTATACAACTCTTGCAGCCACTAGGCGCACCGAGTTATTGTGGTTTTCTCCTTCTTACGAGGTACCCATTCACAACTGGGTGGACTGGGACACATAGTCACAGTACTTTGTCCAAGTTCACTGCACGTTGCTGTACCCGCAACTAGGTGTTTGCACCTATTCATGTGGCCACCATCTGGTCATTTACCAACGGATTCGTGGGTTCTTTTAAGTGCACAGGGTTGTGTACGGTACACTAGGGATTGTGGCAACACTGAAAGAGTCTGCACACAAAGTTGACTCCAAGGTTTTTACACCCGGTCACATGTGGGCTCGATCCCGACACCTCAACCTCGCTGGATCACTAGCCTGGCACCTTAGCCAGCTCGCCCACCGCGGCACCGACTAAGGCATTAAACAACAAACACACTTTCTCATCTAATTTACAGAAGCAAATCCGAGCTGATGTTTAGCTTTCATTCTTCAAGGTTGAACAGAAAACAAAATTAAGTTAGCTGTATTCATTTTTTATCTCTGACGGTATAATAAGAGCAAACAGACTACATGTAATATTCCGTGAGTAACAGTGCGGATTTCACAGCACTAACTAACATATTCAATACTTCAAAATATACACATAGTAACTTTAGTGATACATTGTCATTATGTGGTGATCTATGTCTGTACATTGTGTGTTTTAGACTGGACTTAGGAGACATTCTAACATTCACTATTGTCATATATCAGTATGTATTTACACCAAGCAGACTGGGATCCTTTGTGAAAACTAAGCACCGTAAATGGATGTATGAACATCAACATATATATGTTAACACATCAGTATGTATACATGTTCAAATAACAATGTGGATGCATTGTACAAAGATCAGAGGGCATAGTACATATGCGTACAAAGAAATTCACGTAACGGACTTGGACAAATGAACACATACAACGAATGTGGCATATCCAGCGAAAATATTTAATGTTTAGAATGGACTCTACATATATCGTAGTTACTGTTGGATAGCCAGTTCAACGTGCGATGTGTGCTTGCACACGAATAAATATTGTGACTTGGGTAGGTAATGGATTGAGAAAGGTATTGTTTACGTATTTTCATATTCTAGATTTCTATATGTAGTATTCCCAGAAATTATTGAGAAAGTTGTTTCGGCAAATATATAACAGATATATATAAACTATAGACGTTTTACTTACATGAATATGTTGAGATATTCTCTTACAGTCTAAGTGTCTTTTCAGTACGTTGTGAGACCTCCTTGCCCTGCAATACACAACTGAATGCGCCTTTGTAAACTACCGATCAAAGTATGTAGGAAATCGTGTGACAGCGTATCCCAATATTCGATCACTTCTTTCTTCATATCCTCAAGAATATGTCTGTCCTTCATTAGTCCCCACACATTCTCAATAGGGTTTAGATCTAGGCTGTAGCTGGGCCAGTCTAAACATGAACATTTTCGTCCCGCAACTGCTGTTTGTGTAGTCCGCGGTGTGTTTTGGGTCGTTATCATACTGGAAAATCCAATTATCTTTATACAGTGTTGGTGCCGTTGGAAGGAGGTGACCAGTTAAGATGTCAACATATCGTTCCTTCGTCAAATTTCCAGTGAAAAGACACAAAGGCGTCACTCCACGTGTTATCCCACCCCACATGTGAAATTTCGGGCTATGTTTTGGACGTTGGTAGATAGGTTTCACTGTATCTTTTGTCCAAATGTTCACACTTCGGAAAAAGACAGACAGACCTTTCATCAGAAAAGAAAACAATATCTCAATCTTCATTTTTGTGAGCCTTACGCCAGTTTAAACGTCTTTCTTTTTTCTTTCATCAATGGTGAGGTAATTCCGCGCTTTTTCACCCAGTTAAGTCTTTCTAATTCTTGTCCAAGGGTTTCATTACATACCTGAGGACTTCCTTTATTATTCATATCATTTCTGATATTCTCAACGCTTTTCAGTTTTCCCCTACTCACAATCTGACCAAGTCGCCGGAGATCCGTAGTACTGAACTTCCTTGGCCTCCCTGCCCCTGTCCAGTGCTCAATCCCAACTCCTGACTGAATATTCTTCAAAGTTCTGTATACTGTAGACAGAGGAATGTCATGTCTACTAGGTAACTGTTTTGTTTTAGTCACACCCCTTTAAAATCATCTAGCTTACTTTTTTCTTCTGCTGTCAAATCTGCCATTTCAACAAAGGAAGCCGTCTGCTTACCAGGGGAAATAACTCTTGATGTAAGGTTCATTCTTTAGCCTACAAGAGTTGCCTCCCATATTGAGTACCTTACTACATAATGTAACACCTATTTTAAAATTCTATTATGAGCATTAGGAAACAAAAGATTTTCTCAATAATTTCTGGGAAAAGTGTAAGAGGTCGACGCCAGAGAAAATTCAGTCTCGAATATGTTATATTGGACTAATGAGCTAATGAGGCAAGTTATAAATGGATCACTGAAAGTCAGTTATAACACCAGGTGTTCGCGAAAAGGGGACGTATATCCTGCTCTACCGGTAGCACCTGCCACTTATAGAAAAAGGCGTGCTTGTTTGCTGCCAAACGTTGCACAATATTACTTGGCCTGTAAACAATTGATTCTTGTGGAAACAATCCAGTGGAACGTCACATTAATTTTGAATTACTTGTGCTGCATACTTGTATTCGTGCAGAGATTCTATAAGGAGAAACGTTAAAGAATTTAAATAATTAGGTTTGTTTTCTGAACGAAGTCACACCCGAAAAGGCATGTGTGCATTATTTGTGCGTATACTAAGGAATGTGGCGAATATTTATGGCATAATTAATAACAATCACCCAATAAAATACTTTTTTAATGAAAGAAAGAAAAGAATATGTTCTGTTCCAAGATGCCAGTGTGACAATAAAAAGGGGGAAATTGGAAGAATTGTTTTTTCCAAACGTCCACATCATGACCATAATGACGTTAATTGACAAAATACAAACTATGATAGGGCAATTTGATATATGGAATGATAAGCTAGCAATATACATTGACCAATAAATGAGTGAAAGAATGCAAAATAGTGTGCGATTATATTGACATCAGATCAAGTGTTGATTTAAAGCACACGTCCCAAAACTTATGTCACAAAAACCGACATAGATATTGATTCAAATAATTCCATAACTGTATGTTTCTCAACCAAACAAATACATTTGTAAAACAAAAATGATGAAGTTATTTTTGTAAATCAGTTTACATCAATGCATTCTCACCTGAATCTGACGGGACGGTGTGTGTATCAATATCGATTTGTATTCCTTCGGTTAGACTTGATCTCCAATAACTAGACACTTCATAATGTAAGTTCCAAATATGTGTTAGAGATTCGTCAATAGTTTGGATTCTGCAGTGTAAAAATTATAAACGGATATGTCTCGTACCATGTGTCTCAGAATGCTCAATGGAATTTACTGACTTACATTTTTTTGCCTTTGAGAAAGACAAGAAAATAATAACCCTTGTAGAATCAAACCAAATATATTCAAAGGTGTGGCATCAACCACAGAGGTTAGCAAGAGCATATGCGCATATATTCAACCAGGCAGGTGAATTGTCATATCAAAGCCCATGTGTAAAACGCAAATATATAGTATATATACAAAAACGGGGCTGCTTGTATAGGCAACTTGACATATGTATAATTACAGTTCTGTAAACCATAACAGATAAACCACATGTACTGTATTGTACACCATTTCTTTGAAAACGTGAACAACTGGCCAACCTCCCAAAACCTTGGAAATATTTGTGTCATACAGTTAAACCTGCCCTCCATGTAGGGTTTGCTCTGTCTAAAATGCCAGATAAAACACGTATACAGGCATTCTGTTGAATCAATACTGTTGCCATGCTGTCAAATCAAAGCAACTTGACATGTGCTTTGTCATGATTTTTTGCAGGTCCTTTGCAAAAGGAAACCTTTTAAACCATTTCTATTTAGGCAACGTCTAATCAATGACGGCAGGTTCCATGTTTTGTTCAATCACGTATTGCAACCTAAAGCTAGGCATTGTGCATTCATAGCTAGGGAACGTGCCTCGACTGTAATGCAGTATACAATGCTTAATATCTGGCCACCTTGCCACAAAGGTATGTTATAATCGGTATACAATACCACACCTTCCTACGAGTATAGGGCAATCTTAACATTGTATGCAGTCGTGTTAAACAGGCATACCTGGATAATTGCCACGAGTGAACGTCATGTATTTTGGCACAGTGTGACATAGGGATAACATTATGGCTGTAATCCTTAAATGAAATGAACAACTGACATGTGCAGTATGTGACAGTATGTGCTTCTCGATGGTTCCCACCAATCTTTGCTATGTACACCATTATTGACAAGGCGTCATGAAACTGACATGTCCTCATTGAAGTCCCTGTCAGGATTCTCCATGCCTCTCTTCATTTGGACACTGATGTAGATGTATACCTTCCTCCACGCCTCCGATACCTCCTTCGTGTATTTTTCAGCTAGCACCACTCCTAAACCATGGTTGAGGGAAGGCCAGAGTCTCTGCAATACAAACATTGATGTTAGATTCAGATACATATTGATTCCGAGTGAAGCTGTTGCAAAACAAACCTTCATAAGACACTTCAAAACTCTCTACAAAACAATATGACTTCAACCTTTGGAGCAGAATACCCTCACATTTTCGTGAACACTATTTCATGGTGATTCATAAAGACATGCTAATTATAAAGACTCTGCTTGTATCAGATATTTTAGTGAGTGAGTGAGTGAGTTTTAGTTTTACGCCGCTTATCATGGCAGGGGGCACCAGAAATGGGCTTCACAGATTGCACGTATGTGGGGAATTGAACCAGGGTCTTTGGCGTCCAGAAAGTTTAGATAATGATAAAAATGCATTTATAAAACTGTCTAAAGAAAGACCAGCGACAATGAGTAATACGGAACGTCGGTCTCGTGCAGATAGATAGTACTGTCCTAAGATCGTTTCGAGGAAGTTAGTCAACCTCCTAGTTACCAAATTACTGTAACATATGATATACTTGGGATTATACTGTCACAGTAAAGTACCGATTCTAGTACTTTTGTTAGGTTAAGTCATATCTGGTATTCACGTCCAAACTCTCAGAGTCAGGCACCTAATCGCCAGCACACGAAGCCTTCAACCCTTTCAGCCAGCGCTTCCACAAAAAACTTGGACAACTGGGTCTAGATCACGTACTTTGTGTACCCCTCTCACAAGTGCAAACTGCCACGGCTCCCACGGCCGAAAGCTATGAACACACAATGCCATTTAGAAAGCAGTGAAATGTAATATGTGTTATATTTGGGATTACACTTCCTCACTAAAAACCGTTTCTAGTGGTGATCTGATTGATTTCGTGTCATCGTACCCTCACGAAGTGAATCGTTGCTCATTATTTCAGTCATTGTAAGGTCGGTCTAGATTGTTATTTTCGCCCTCGCTATTATACTCTGAAAAACTCCGTTGTGTCGAAGAGACCTGCGTAAATACTTATATCCTAGGTTGGACACAACCGCAAAATGATGACTATTGGAATACGTAGGGACCAAAGTTTTCCTTCGAGCAAACCGCTGGTTCGACGCAACGGAGTTCGAGTGCACCTTTCATTTTGCTGAGTACAAAAATACACACACGGTGGTACCCGTATAAATAACATAAGTGTGAGCTGTATTTATGAGATCTATATGTATTTTTTTTCAAAATATTGAAAAACGACTTTTGCCAACTTTACTGTATTTCACCGATTTAACGTATTGCTGATATAGACAGTAGGCCTGGTTGAGCATATTGCAAAGTGAAAGAACATTCCGTAATTCATTTGATAAACTTCATAAAATCAAATACCTCTGGCATGCCATTTCACTAGCCTTTGAAATATTCATACGCAAATGTACACATGTACACACATATTACTGTACCCTTACTGCGGGAGCTAAGATCCGTGAAGATCCGGGTTAGAATTGATCTTTAGTAACCCATGCTTGTCGTGAGAGGCGACTAACGGGATCGGGTGGTCAGGCTCGCTGACTTGGTTAACACATGTTATTGTATCCCAATTGCGTAGATCGATGTTCATGCTGTTGACCACATGGGTGAAACGGTATACCGCGGCATTAGTAGAACCGCGGTATTTTGCCTTCGGTTCGGTATACCCCAAATCCCCAAATTCGGTAGTTTCAGTTTTCGTACCGTTCTTCTTCCTAGTCATAAAATGACAGTTTTGTTAATTGAAACAAAGATTATGGTTAAATTTTTCATGTTATTAAACAATTTAAGGTTTGACTCTTGTTGGCAAGCGAAGGCCTTGTTCCGCAATATGTGCCATACCTTGGTATGAGCGTACCGTTTCACCCCTGTTAGCCACTGAATTGCCTGGTTCAGACTCAATTATTTACAGACCACCGCCATATAGCTGGAATTTTCCTCCGTGCGGCGTTAAACAACAAACCAACCAACCAACGGGAGCTAACCTGATATCTACTGACATACTACCAACATATAGAAAAATATATGAACCTATTAATTTATTCTTTATTGTTTGGGAGTAAACGGCGTTCGTTCGTCACGCAGAGGACTATGGAATCCTGGAAGGGACATTGTCACGTTGTCGCATTGTCGCCTCCTCAAAAACATGCAAAATGAGTCAAAATTAATCAAAAGCGCGACAATGCGACATAGCGACATTTCGGCCATTTGTCGCATTGTCTCGATGTCGCATGTCGCGTTTTGAATAATATTTTTCTATTCCTCCAAAGGGCGACAATGCGACATAGCGACAATTTTCAAGGTTAAAATATGTCGCGTTGTCGCATTGTCGCGTTGTCGCCCTTTTCGATTACCGGTGCACGTGTGTAGAAAGTCAATTAGTCTACGCATGCGCAGAAAATGTTCTACTCTATTTCAGACTTCACTGATCTTTTGCTACCTCCAATGGTTTTAAAAATGAAGTAGTACTCGTAATGGCAATGGGGCTGATTTTCTTGAACTTAATGCAACTATTTCATTATTGCTTTGAAAATTATTTCATATATTGAAAATGTATTTAGCCAGTCAAGAGTGTTTTAGCAGTAAGACAAATTATTAGCGCTACTATTCATTGTAATGACGGCACACGGTGGCCCTGTTATTTTAGGTGTTTCTAGCAAGTCGCTGTGCAGGGTTGCGTCTCTTAGTCGCACCAGAAAACTAAGATCATAGGTTCGAATCCCAGCACCATACACATTCATCACTTTGGACATTTCACCAATATCAAGTTGACAGGTTGTGAAAAATGCTGATGAATTTGTCCGAGATCTGCCTCTGTTCAGCCAGCAGTGGATGGATACCAGGTAGAATGAGATGGTAATATGACTTAATCCTCCAGCGCCTCAAAGACAGTTTAGATCGGCTTTAGACTTGATATTCTTCTTGGAAAAACGCCATACAAACGGACTGTTATCATTATGATATGAAATCGCTTGGCAGAGTTGTGTACCCATGGAGTGCCGGAAACCTATAATCACTCACGCTCACTCACTCATTCAAGGCTTAGGGAGCTTGGTAAATTAGCAAGGTTTTCATCACAATAATGTGTTGTGAAGTCTGTTTTTCAATTCTATTTGAATTCTATATAATTAATCCTGTACATGCCATGATTCACAATACATCGAAAAAAATTCAGACGGTACACATACCCAGTGATACACATGCACCTGTATCGTTTCAAACATAGACCTATTCAATCATAATCATTTTCATCAAAATGGCCAGTTTGAATACATCCATTCCTTTAACCAACGATCCTTAACCCACAGACTTCATGCTTGTGATAGTTTTTCAATTCCGCAGTAACACACATGCGCACCGGTAATCGAAAAGGGCGACAACGCGACCATGCTACATAATCAATATGTCGCGTTGTCGCGCATTTTCAGGCTTTTTTTACACATCTTAGATGGGGCGACAATGCGACAAATGGCCGAAATGTCGCTATGTCGCATTGTCGCGCTTTGATAAATTTTGCATCATTTTGCTTGTTTTTGAGAGGGCGACAACGCGACAATGCGACAACGTGACAATGTCCCTTCCAAGATGCCATAGGGGACCGTTTCGATTCCCAAAATGAGTACAATATGTGAAGTCCATTTCTGGTGTGCCCCGCGATATTACTAAAATATTGCTACAAACGGTGTGAATCCATACTCCATCTTTATTGTTTATAAAGATTACTTCTTCTCCATCAGCAGATATATTGAGTTACATCAAAAGAAATATTTTTCTTGAACTTCGGTCTATTTTCTGCTCGTGTTTTCATTTAACACATAATGTTTTTTCAGCATGTCGCATTGACGACACTGCCTCAATCAACGTCAAAAAGCCCAATTTCAGAAAGCTATTAGTTCCTTCACGCCATGCTAATGGTTGAAACCCATATGGTAGGGATGGAGAAAAACACCGAATGATGTAAGAAAACAGTATTAGGCAAGAAGATTATTTTAATGTGTGGAGCATACCTGATAAATATTATTGTTCAATCTCTAATATTATCAGCGTCATACCGCCTTCTTTTCTAACGCACAGCGCCCCCTAGCGACAGAGTTGAGACAGAGGGGGATAATTTGGACACTAGGGATGTTATTTCCATCTTGGAAGAAAAGGAGGTGTTTTTTATTTCCAACGTCATGCCCCCACTCGTCCTTTGGTGTTTCAAGACCAACTCCCCCAGCAGCAGCCGCCAGAGACACTTACCAAAACTCGGAACAGAGATAATATTATCCCCAAGACTGACTAGAATGGATATAAATACCCTTGTTAGACTGTGCTTGTGGCAGAGGGATGGGTACAAAATAGGCTGGGGACTTGAGATCAATGCGAGACTTTTCCTGGGAGGATCTTGTTTGTTTCGACCGAATATTTTTTCACTGAAGTTAACACATTTAGTTGTTAACATATTTGGTTAAAAGGCGTCTGTTCCAAAATTAGGAGTAGCACCGTGGGATAAACGCATTAAGACACAAGGCAGGGTTTGATTCAGTTTATAGACAGGTTGTTCACTAGTGGAAGGACATTACGTTTTCTTCCAACTAGAATCTTGCCCAAATCCTAGACTGTCTGGCATTCAATTATCATAGTACTTACACTAACTATTGTCTGTGAGTGAGGGAGTGAGTGGGTGAGTTTAGTTTTACGCCGCACTCAGCGATATTCCAGCTATATGGCAGACAATGTGATCAACATCATGAGCATCAATCTACACAATTGCGATACGATGACATGTGTCAACTTAGTCAGCGAGCCTGACCACCCGATCCCGTTAGTCGAATGGGTTACTGAAGATCAATTCTAATCCGGATCTTCACGGGTCCCATTGTTAGTGTGAATACTATAATTAAATAATATGGATACCTGGTGTCAACACTGGTTTAGTGATATATACTTGTGGCATTTAACTGATGGTTTTCCTCATGCGACCAATGGAATCTGTTTCAGCAGACACTCTGAGATTAATTATTATATTTACACTCTGAGATTGCATGAA